TATTAAATGGTGCAAGACAGTAGGCATTTGACTCACCCCACCACTGCCACCGTTCTGGCAGAAGTCACAAGCATTGACAGTAACTAGGAACACAGTAAATGTGGGAATAGCAGACCCAAATTCACAAGTAGAGTCAGCAAGATGTTAGTACTTCATCATTCTTGTCAGTCTAGAAAGCATTAGGAATTGAGACCAGTAGGTCTGACTGTATCCATGTCCTTGTTTTCAACTCTAAACAAGTTAGCAACCACTTTCTGCACCTGAATCCTGAATTCACTCCCCATCCCCATCTTTTGGATCTCAGGATGAATCACATAGCCAGTAAGTTTAAATTTTATCCTTTCTGAAGGACAGACACTAAAGTCTAGTTTGAACTTCAATTTTCTAACTATCCACCCAAGTTCTTCCCTTCTATAGTAAAAGAATTTACATAGTGTCCCAGGGCACATGGATACACAGAGAGTTTCCCAGTCTTTTGTGCCACTAGTATGGTCACACTGCAAGATTAGATCAAATGATGTTCCATGACACCCAGACATCCCAGAAAATGCTCAGATATCTAGCATTCATTGGGAAGAATACTCTAGATGTAAGGAGAAAGTTAACCAAGATAGAAGGTGCCACTGAAATGAGTCCTTCCAAATTGGTGGATGCTGCCTTTACAGTTTACAATGCAGGAGAGGGAGGCCTAACTCAGCAACTATTTTCATAGAGAGAAGATAGGAAGAGGGGCACTAGGAGGACAGGTGTCCCAGGTTGGAAGGAAGGGAAGAAATTAGGGGAATGAAAAGGGAGCATATGGTACAGAATGAGGATGCATACAAGGGTCATAGGATGAATGTCAGGTGAAGTAGAATAAAGCTGTCAGTAAGGAGGAAAGACAAGTGGTAAGTCTAGAATGGGGTTTGTGAGTAAGGAGACTCGGGCTCTACTCAATCTGAAAAAGCCTGTTACAATGAACTTCTTAGATCTCAGGGTAACTCATTGTGTAGGAGCCTTCGACTAACTTTCTGGAGGATGCTAGAACAAGTTACTCAGTTTTCAATTCTAAGTTGACTCCAGACTATACTAAGTCCCTAGGGTTGTGGGAAGGTCACAGAAGTTCTTCCATGTATAGAAAGCTGTGTTAGAGATTTACAGCACCAAATTGGCATTCCAGAGATTATAGTAAAACTGCCCAATCCCTTCCTTAACTATATACCCTCTTAATTTGATGCAGATTATTTTCTCACCCCAAGAGTAGAGAGTACACTTATGACTACCCCCAGAACATGCCTTGAAATTCTGGATGGTACTCAGGACACTCCACCAAAAAGTTGAGGCTCTCACCAAAGAAATATGACAGAATGACTTGGGCCGATGGAACTCTGGGATATTCTAAAAATAGGTTTAAGAATAAAAGTGAAGGAAAGCAGGTTTCCAACAAGAAAACATCCACTAAACAGAAGGTCTTGCAGTGGAATCAGTATTTCAAAAATTTCTCCTATTTTGTCTCATTTGATCTCTGTCATCCCCCCTTACAAGAGTGCTTTTCCAGCCAAGAAGCCTAGGCACACAACCTTTAAGCAGGACATTTTTTGCAATATCAAGCATAAGAGGGTCTTGCTCAAGACCCTGTGGCAGGGACTCTGAACACCTTCACTGAATTATAATAATTAGGCTCTTGTCCCCAAGCTTTGTTCCAGGAATGAGAATTGTTTTAAGCCAATTTAAGTAAGGAATTCATGGAAAACCTGAGGGAACAGATAACAGCAGACAAGGAGCCTCAACTCTAGACTGGTGACTATTTGGTTTGATCTAGCAATAGAATCCATCAGCTCTCCCACAGTAAGCAGTTGTTTTCCCAAGCAAATCTCAGATCTGTGGAGAAGAGCCATAATCATGCACGTGTTCTCAGGGTCAGTCATCTAGTTTAAATATTAGTGCCATCAGCCTAAATCAAGTCCTACAATTTCAATTCCAGTGCAGACAATGCCAATGTTTTGTCTGTTTCGTTTAGTTCTTCCACCTGTCTAGTAATGTCTCTATCAGCAGTGGAGAGTTTATGCTGTTCGGGGTAAAAGGTCATTGTTCAGTCTGGCCAATCTGTTCTTAATGCAGTAGAGTTACTTTCCCCCCACAACCACCCCACTTAGGAGATTGAGATAGACAAAAAACACTTTATAGTTACTACAGCTTCCTAAAAGCATAATGGCAACTTACGCCAGTGATGTTTGAAATGGTCAAGTTGAATTCAGTGAAAGATATCTAAAGGCTATCTGTGCACAGAGCATAAAATTAAATATGTAATTTTGCTTAAATACTTTACTATTGAACTTGAACATTTCCCCATGCAGCAATTATACTTATCCTTCCTTACATATGTTCTAGGTCAGTCCTAAGAAATTTTACATATACTATCAACTTTTTAATGTGCAGGAATGAAGTTTGAAATGTTGATTCTTAATCAAGAATATGGAAGTAAAGATACCATGTGTCCAGAATTTGGATCAGAATATCTACCAGAGTTTTTGATCTGTTTTAGGATTAGTTCAATATGGCAGACTACTAAACTGTATTAAGTCAACATGCATGAATAGCCTAGCCACACACATACATCACATCTTTACTATTTTAGTAGGTCAAAAACCACGTTAATGGGCTAAGTTCTATCCTCCAAGAAATAAGAATATGAGCCAGTCATTCTCAAGGCTTCAGAAATTCAGGTCTCAAAACTAATTTGTCTCGACTTTGCCTTCTAAATTGTCACCATTCTGGTTTCTTCTGACATCTAGGTAATTGAACTTTAATTCATGGCTAAACTCTATCTTCTGATTTGACTGAATTATATCCAGTTCTTTGTTTTTGAAACAAAGGCTCCAGTTTGCTTCTAGGGTAGTCAGAGTACAATGGTATTTCAACTGAACAGAATCATTTTTGGGAAAAAATCAAGGTAGTGGCAACTTCTTATGCCCCATAGGGAAATGTCTATTCCTGAAGTTCTTCACAGTGCTTACTCCATGGTGAGTGCCATCTGTAGGCCACAGCCATCCCTATACCTCAATGCTCAGCAGCTTCTGGTCTTATGTATTGTAAGGGACCCTGGGACAATCCATGAATCCAAGTATGCATTACCCACGGAATCAGTGGGTATTATCAGGCTCTCATACTGGATGAGTAAATTGAAATAGTCATTTTAGGTGTTTAAACAAGTTGTCCTACTCAATGCCCAGCTAGATCTTGGGGCTCTTAGGAAAACTCATTATATCATGTTCCAGTTTCAAGAAAATAGTATGAGTCACTATGCCCAACCAGTTAGTGATCAGAGTTGACCTCAATATACTTCAAGTACTATCTGAATCCACCAGGATAAATTAGTTTGCTTTACTTGGGCAACCTGCAACCTGGTAAGAGTGACCACCTTGAATGTTGACAACAGGACATCTTTAGGTAAGGAATGTTTCTCCTACAGTGAAATATGAGTTCAAGGCTATTATCTCTAGTGCCCAAGATCATGTTCCAGGACTCTGCCTGAAAGGGTCTCTTTCCCTTAAATTGGTTGTCTTGACCTAGAACCAATTTAAGCAGCTACCTAGAAGCCATGGGCCTCCTAGGATTATGCTTTGTTTAACGAGTTCTTGCTTTTTCCGTATTTAAACTAAAACTTCTCTAGTTAAGTAGGTTTGATGGTCTATTGTAGTCTCCAGGAGAGACAGATTCATAGTCTTTCCACCCTTAACTTTTTTAAAATAAGACTTTGGCATTGGCATTCAATTATTTAAACCAACAACTGCATAGAATAAAAGTCACTCTGCATCGCCTCATGTTGGAAGAGTTTTTAATAAGCAAATTGACTTCCATAAAAAGTGACTAAATCTAGACATTGGCCAACTAAATGGGAAATAGAATTATTTCCATTCAGAAAACAACTATCACAGGTCATATCGGAGAAGCTCATGCAAAGAATGCATGCCCTTGAAGGCTCAATTCTAACAAATGGAAGTAGTCTCAAATCCAGGGCTTTAGGAATATTAGGACAGTGCCCAGGTAGTTAAACTAGAGTCAGGGAGAAGGCTCTAGTTAAGCAGTTCCATCACAATATAGACTAGACAGTAGTGTTTCTACAGTGGCAGAAGTTAGGTTGTTGCTGAGAAAAAGTAAAAGACCTGGCTAACATACAGGCATGGACTAGAAGTTTGAGAAATGTAGAGGAGTACTCATGGGGAATATCTCACAACTCGATATTTAATATCTCAGCAAGAGTGCCTGAAAGCAGTTCCAACATGCTGCTGAGATGGCTCCCAGCTGCCGTAGTAAATGGGGAAAGAGTGTTAAGGGTCAAAACGCAAAGGTGATAGTGGCAGCCTATATAATATGACAAGGGAACCTACTACCTGTCCACGTTACCTGAACAGCCCTTCACTAGAGTGTCCTCTAGTGAATGCACTAGTGAGGGTTACTTGACATACAAATCTAATTGAGGCTGTCCTGATGTGGGCAGAGATAATGTATCAATAGGATGCTACCATGGGACCAATGTCCATGGTGTCAGTGGGAATGATAGTTTAAAGCAGGAGCAAGGTGACTACACATAGAGGGATGATGGGCATTATCTGTTAAATAGTAAACTCAGAATGGTCTTAACTTTCCAGAATCTGTGGCAATAGCATTGTCAGCCTATGGGGTTAAGAGCTGGGTAACCAACAAAGGTACTACTTGATGTGCACAATCAGAACAGGCAAGGAGGCATGGCTCAGTTATTGTAAATAGTCATGACCATAGTGGTTTTTTTGATGTCAACTTTGCAAGACTTCTGTACTGGTCAGTAATCCAAACACTAATGCAGGTGTTAGATGCAGTTGTGGTATGATTACAACACCTGACACTTGACTGAGATTATCCTGGATAACCTGAGGGAGCCCGATTCTATCAGTTGAGAGTATTCAGTCTTGCTAATGATCCTCTTTTAATTGTCCATGGACAATAGATATCTTTGTCCCATTAATCCTGTGAGTTCTCACCTGTGATCTTTTCTTCTGGGCTTCTAGCCCCACAAACTTATAGGACAATTCCTTAAAATAAATTCCATTTATTGATGTATTGATTCTATAGATTCTTCTCTGGTTAAACCTTGATTGATGTAACTTCTTGCTGAGTTTCAATGTTTAAGTTGCCATATTCACCTCATTAATTAGAAGGTACTAGCTGGTTCTAAAAGGCCCTGCAATATCACAGTAAACATGGAGTTAGCTATTTCCCCACTCTTCCCCATAGGAACCTATGCCCATTATGGTTACCTAGGTAACCATAATGAAGGGACACACAACCCGTCATAGGTAGTTCTATCAAAGAAACTCAAGCCTTATAGGTCCCTCTGACATAATGGGGCAGGTTACACAGTGTCTAGGTTGACAGGATATTCAGAGGGTAGGTGACAAAGTGAGACCAAGAAAATTTTATAGTGGCTCCAATGAACAGCAGATCTATGGTGCACATTTTCCATATCTGAGTACTTAGCTACCTAGCTACTGACAATCCTTACACTGGTTCCCTGGCTCATGGAGCAGAAGTCAGTGGGAATGCAAAGTGGAATTCCCTTAAGCTGTCCTTTTGTCCACACCAAGAGTAATTCAGAAGCTATACCACATTTTGAGGATAGGGAAGGGAACCCCATCCTGACACTGTCACCTGATTCACTAGTTTAGCTTTGTAGGAAATCAAGATGACATTATGTTACAAATTAGCTCAAGCAAAGCTGCTCTGCCAGGTGTGGCATCTCTACTACTGGTTAGTTGCTTTGGGTGCTTAGTTGAGGCAGTTCAACTGCCTAAGAACAAACTTGTTCTTAATTTCTATTGAGAGAATGCAAGCCATTCATGTTCACTTAAGCACAGCAGCACATTTATCATCTTTATCCCAGACTCCTATAGGTTTTTCCTGTTCTGCCACAGTAGCCTTTAATATACCTTTGAGATTCTGAAGATGGCCATGCTGCATCACTATCAATGCAAGTGTTCAACCTGATGAGCAAGTGGTTGGTGCCTTACTCAGACACGCATGTCAAAGAAGCCCTCTGGATATTCAGAGACCTGCCACATTTGACTTTAAGGGGCCAAAGACTTGAGGTATGTCATGGGTATCCATTCCTAGATGACTTGTCTTTTCTATTAGCACCTTATGCCTCCTACCCTTTGGTAGGCCTTAGGATTTGAAGGGCAGGATAATCACATGCTCACATGGAAGAGTATTTCGAGCAGGGACCTAGAACGAGAGGGCTCTGTAGCAGGTCTAGGATTCAACATGGTCTTCCTTACAGTTTGGACGCTATGATCATGCACACTAGCGGTGCTAAAGATAGACAAAGACATACCACATGGAGTTCTTAGACAGGTTTTGTAGAAGAGAACTGTTTAATATCTATTAACAACTTTTAATGTCCAAGTTTCTAAAAGCAGCAGAGTACATCTGGAAGACATCAAGTTAGGCAGTTTCCTGTTGGCTTAAAACAAGATGCTGCATTGCAGTTTTCATGGCCTGGGAGCAGTAGTAATAGGAAGTCCTCCCTGTGAGCAGAGACTCCAGCACTGTAACTGGTCATCTGATTGGTGAAGGACAAGTAGACAAGGATACAGACTCTGGGCATTGGCTTGGCTTAGAAGGGATATGATTGCAAGATGAGACAAGGAGCCTTCAGACAAAGACTGTGTGAACACTTATAAGAGCTGCAAGTGTGCAGATCTCGTTCATCAGACGTCTAGACAAACCTCATGGAGGCTGTTAAGCTTGTGCTCAGCCCTTGTTCTTTGGTTCTTCTGGAGAAGTGAATAGACAATAGGATGATACTGAATCTGATAACCAGGTTGGGCAACTAGAGTTGAAGCTTAACCCCAAGTATTGTCAGGAGCAAACTCAGGGTGTGCTCCCTTCCAGAAATGTTTGACACTCAGGGGTGGCAACTTCAAAGGTCAACCAGATACTCAGAGGTAGACATGCATCTATGTGCACTTGCATTCATGCCCCATATCAGCTATGGTTTACATGACCTCTAGTCCATCCCTTTCCCCCCTATCCTGTTAGGGCTGAGGGGGGGTTCTCCTGCTTGACTAGTTACCAGGAGATACACGGTAGAGCTTCTCCCCACTGCCCCATTCAGAGGAAGCCAAACACAGAGACACACGCCAAATAGGCTCTTAGTATTTACGAGATAACAGAAAACCCACAATAACTCCATTTGTAACAACAAGAAGTTAGGAGCCCTGCTTCCCTCCAAGCTTAGAACTTTTCCATGTATAAGACCCAGCAGGACACAATTCAGTGAGCTGAGTGAGAAATTTAAGAAAGACCTTAGTGTAATATGGAGGATTAAGGGAACAAAGATGAAGCACTGGGGGCTAGCAACAGTAGAAAGCTAGGACCAAAGGTGAAAGTTACCAAGTGCAATGAAAGCAAGAACTGTGCTAGAGCACAGCTATGGTTTGAGATGTAGCTGTGAAGCAGAGGGAGTTGGGAAGGAGTGCTCAAACCTGTCTTCTAGCCATGTCTCCTACTCCCAAACACACCATGTGCTATTTTCTGAGACTGGCTGGTACAGCCCATGGGGGTGCAGAGCCCAGTGGGGAATATTCTTTGTGAGCTGGCTATTCTGACCCACTATAGGGGCCAGTAGTGAGAAGCCAAAGAGAAGAGCCACATGACACTTAGAAACAGTACAGGACTCTACCCAGTCTTTGCACAGGTCAGAGCAAGCCTGGACCTGAAGCCAGAGGTACAAGCTCAATTTCCCAACATCAAGGCACAGATTGAGAGCAGTCATTGACTTGGAGAAAACTCTTTTTAAAAGATATGGGCTTAAATGCTTGCTGGTTACAGCACTGGGATGGGGACTCTTTAGTCCCCAGGGGATTTGAGAGCAGCCTGAGCCCAAAGGTTCAATACATGGCTCCTGGACCCTCATGTTCCCTCAACAAAATTAATGCTGGTTTTCTTAGTCCTGTTACCAAGGAGGTCAGCTTCCTCCATTTTCTAATGGAGAAAGATTAGATAAATCAATCCTGATTAAGGAGGTATTATCCTCCTCTTAGAGGTGCCAGTCTCAGCATGGGGAAGCTACTGTGTTGGGTATCATTTGAGTTTGTGGGGGTGGGGGAGGTATACCTTAGGGATTGTTCTTTACTTAAAGAGTACAAGACAATATGCCTTTCTTCAATTTGCTTTTTTAGCATAGCACTGTGATTGAGAAATGTGTCAATATTACACAAGTATAACTTTATCAATGTCAGAAGGATGTCTAGCAATAAGCAAAGGAATGTTTTAAGGAGGGCATTGCCTAATGCATTTATATTACATAATCTACTTTTTAGACAACTTCACATATGTAGCATAATTAAGATATTTCAGAAATACTAATTTCTACTTATAACCAAAAATTCCCTTCATGGTCTTGGTTACTGCCCACAGAATAGTGTCCCTACAGTTCATGTTTTTCAGACAAACCTCAGACCCTTTTCGAAGGTCATTTAGGAAGTCTCTTCCTTTCGGTCTCCTACCTGCTTCTCTAAGCCGCACCCCGAATTTGCTACCCAAACTGAGACCTGATGTCAGGTTAATTAAATAATTTCAGGTTAAGACAATCCCTTCACACTCATCCAGATGTATCAACCCCTTGCCTCCATTTGAGACAGTGAATACAGCTAAGTGAAGTAGGGGTTAGAATTAGGACTTCCAATTAGTCTGAGTGGATTGGCTCAGACAACAAAGTCATTGGATTTCCCCAGGTTAATTTCAGTGAGCTAGTAGTTACCCAGTACTGCTCAAGCACCTGGCGTGTGGTAGATCACTTCCCATTAGATTTGTATGGGGAAAGTCCTATGAGATGTGGCTAGTTCTGCAGCCCCTCGAGGATCAGAACATGGACAAGTCAGAGTTAATTCTACCACTCCTGTCCCTCATTCAAAGGGAACTGGTTCTTCTAAATCCTTGATCTGCTCATGTTTGGTTATTTAGTTACCAATCACAGAATATCTTCCCCACATTTTATGTTTTGTAGACAGACATGACTTTTCTTTGAGAACCTTTGAGGAGGAGGTTTTGGAATTTAATAGGAATGGGATGGGTGAGAGGAAATATTTGTTTTAACTTTTCAGAAAGCTGGTATTTGACAAGTATATACCCCATGAAAACTTCAGGAAATAGGTCTTGAAGATGGGGTTGGTCATGGGCAAGTAGGAAGGAGGGGGGTTAGAAGATTGAGCCTTTCCAGTTGGGCACTTTGAGGAAGAAAGGCCATCATTATAAATGTACACATTCAGGGGCTCTTTAAGCAAGCCTGCCTCAATATTACTTGATAGAGCTATTAACTCTGTTCCTTGGTAGCATTTCACAGGGACTATTCAGTCTTCTGAACTCTAGCTCATACTGCTAGTTCAAGTAGTACTCTACTCTCAAATGTCACAACCAACTAAAAGCATTCCAGAATCTTGCATGACTAAACAGTTGATAAATATTATATTTAAATCACTTAAGATCTTTCCCTTTACATAACTCTGCACAGTCATTTGTAAGCATGAGTAGGCATTAATAGCTCAAAGTTACCCAACTCCTATATAATTCAAGTCTGAATACAGTAGCAATCTTCAATCTTTTTCAAATTTCATCCAAATGAATATTAATGTTTGTCTTAAGACTGAGAATCTTCTAGACCTGTGACTGCTTAATTGCCTTGAAGCTGGAGACTTGTGAGCATTGATTTGAAGCTAGGAATAGTCATTAGGCTAGAAAATGTCTCTTGGTAGAGAACAGGGTGAAGTCAGCAGTGAAGGAATTTCATCTTCACTTATTTGACCCTTGAGGAGGGTTCTCAGAAGATTGAGTTTCTTGAGGCTTCAACCACTTAATAGGATGCTAAAAGCTAATTTCATGGTATATTGTTTGAGAAAGTTCACAGGAAAATATTGTCACCCTAAAAAAAATGTATCAACCCAAATGGATCCAAAGCTGTGAATCTCCCAGGCCCCCTCATTCTTGGGATTTTGCTTGGTGCCCAAAGTTGCTGCTGGTTAAGCTAAATGTACAGTGAGGAAGGGTGCCTCTCACCAGTATAAAAGTCTTGGTTTGAAAATCTCTGCTGAAAACACCATGCAGACGTTATGACCAGATTAGCATAGGCAGCTAGACCACCTTGACAGGAAGTTAAGTAAACAGAAGCTAGAAATAGGATGTTTTGATCAGCAGCAACAATGGAGCCCCCAAGCATCACCCCTATTCCCTCTCCTTAGAGCTT